TTTTGTTTCAATCCTTGAGGGGCCGAATGGAGTCCTCGTTTTGGAAATCTGAAAGTAATGCCATAGGATACAGGAAAAACTATCCTCACTGATTATATCTGAAGAGCAAATTCCGTGTTCTCGCCTTTAAGTTAAATCTCTAAATAGCCGTATCCATTGCTTAATTAAACCGCAGACATCCGATGATGAGCAGGCAATCTTGGCTATTTTCATAGGTGTGTATTCCTTAAACAAAGCTTCAGTTTCCGCTAATTGTGAGAAGGGTGTAGTTACCACATACTGTTTACAAAACAGAAGATATTCAGCTCAGAGACACACCTTTTAAACTTAGTAAATCTTAAAACAAAATGAAAAGGTAAATTATGCAGACACAAGGATCACTGGTCAAACTCCAAGCAGATCATATGGGCTGATGAACCCTGTGAGTCACTGAGATGCTTTTTTGTGAATAGTACAAGGAAAAGAGTCTTACTTTCTATCCATTTCATTTCCCAGTACTGAAGCCTTTTTTTTTATAGTGGGGAAAAACAGAGCTAGCTGACAGCAAGCAGGCAATGTACAATGTGTTTGTAAATTTGCAATGAGGGGAATTTGTGTAGTCAGCGTTGCACCCTAATGCAACAAAAACACACAGTCTTTGGCAGCAACCCCTCAGAAGGTTTTCAAGTGCAGTGTCATCTGCGATAGCTGATTTGAAGGGCAGAAAGAATATCAAGCTGAACAGGCAGCTGTGAACCAAGTAAAAAACACATTACGACATGTCCCAGAATTAAAAGGCAGCGCAGAACCTGTGATCTGCATAAACCTGTTTAAAATAACTATATTGAGTTTGCACTCTTGGTTCTCATTTTAAAGAATGTGGTCTGAATGATTAAGAAACATTGAATGGAAAGAAAACTGATTGCATCTCTTTTCTGCCACACTCAGCATCTGGAGAGAGCAGGGCACACTAAATCTCTAAGGGTGAAACTGAGTTCCTATTAGTCCACATATTCCTAGTGGTAGAAGTGCACAAGAAGAATGGCATACAGTATGTGTGCAAAACAGGACACCAAGACATACAGTATACTGTGTATCATTACATATATTTTTTTAATTACATGCATCTTTCTCTCTGAAAATAATCCTGGTACACTAGATTGGTGATTTAAATCGTTTGAGCCTACAGTATGTCTGAGACTGGAAAGTATTGGACAAAAATGTCTCGGACAAGAAGTATTTTGAGCATTTCTGGCAACTGAGAGCATCTGGACTTTGGTCTGACATACATTTTCAGTAAAGCATACCCTGCACAATTCATACAGTTATTCCATGCAGTTAAAGGACCCAAAACAGAGAGCTGAGAAAGTCCAGACCTACAGTATCTTGCAGATAATTTGGGGGATTTTCTCAAAATGTAAATATCTATGCTGGAGGTGATGTTCAGATGTCATAAAGAGCTTCTTCTTCCAGGCCATTTGATACATGATGTTGATATATTCTCAGCAAAGAGAAAGAAGGGTTACTTTAAAGGAACTGTGAGGAGAAACAAAGGGTTGAAAGTTACAGTAAGTACAGGACGCTGGCATCCATTGGTCCCAGAGCTCTTTCTTTATGAGCTCTGAAGCTCGTGAACAGCTGCTGGAGATGGTTTCTTTCAGCAGTTTTCCTCACTGCAGCCATTGCCCGGGCACAAGGTTCGATTAATCCCTTTGATCTTGAATCCAGTTTGTCATGCATTCCCACAGCTACTGCCAGATACTGCATGGACTGGATCCATTATCAGCAAGACCATGGTCCCCAAACCCACCAAGGATCAGAAGAGTCTTATTAAAACCTGACTTCAGAGGTGATGGGGTAACATTTCAGACCAGACCAGGTTTCACAAGTTTCAGACTTGACCTCTGCTAGAAGTGATTATGAACAATCTACTTAAGCATTTTAATGGTAAAAAAAGGCAGTAGTACCTGTAGGAATAATAGTAATAGAACTGTAAAGCACATTGCAGTTCTGTTTTCTTTCCTTACACCTCTAATGTAAGTTGGACATATTATGGTAATGAAGTTAAATCTGTGTTAAAAAAGTCCTACAAACTGAACGAAGTACACAAACATTAACACACCAGTTGTGTAATCTTGATTGCTTTCTGCAAATATGTAAAAAGGAAAGAGACAAAGAACACACAACCAGCAGTAATGACAAAACTGAGACCTTTTAGAAGTTTGTTATTTTTGGTCATTTTTGCTAAACAGATGGTATTGTGGATCAACACAATATTGTGCCATCTGGGAAGAAACTGCCAGGGCAGATGTTTGAGGTTTTTAGGTTGTTAGCAGGTCTGATTTTTTCCTTCTCCTCGGGCAAGCTTTGGGCTGATTGCCCGATTTAGTCATTAGTATAACTGTAGAGAATTGGAAACACCAAACACACTTCCAAAAAAAAGTGAAATGTGTTTTTGCTACTTATCAAGTTTCTTACAAGATGTGCTTGCAAAAGCGAATGACTCATCTCTGTAATAAATCGCCATTTTTGTGCTTGCCATGTCTAAAAACAAATTAAACAAAAAAGCCTTTTTTAATAATGCACTGCAGTTTATATGATAAATTCAGTAACGATGAATGGCAGAATATATTTGTTGTGCTATTCTTAGTATTGAATTAAACAATTTAATAATTCATTGCATTTAATAATTATGAAAAGTACTGTATTCCAAAATCGACTATTACCTCAAGTCAAGATCAAGTAAGACTACTTTTTCCCCATATCAGAAATGTGTGTTTTAATTCAATGTACTGAAAACCCGAATGATCAACTTTCATGTACTGTAACTTCATTTTTACTTTCTCAATTATCAGTCTGTTGATTAATTCATACTTTTCTACTGTATATATCCTTGCTTTTAAACTTCTGAAAGTTGTATATTCAAACCTTCAATTTGAAGTCCTTCATGTTTATTTGTTTTTTTAATACAAATTTCTTATCACTAATAATTGTTTACATTTATTATACTCAGTGATTTTGAATTATTTTTCACAGTCTGAATTCCAACGTTTTTTATCACTGTTAATGTGGGCTGTAAGAGGACTCTTAGGTGGATTATAAGATTTGAATATCTCTTTTCTACAAAACACAAAGAATTTAACAGAAAAATATGCATACAAACTTTCATACAGCTGTTACTTGTTTAACTGTTTTAATCATTTTAAGATACAGTATGTCTTCTTTTAAGTTTTTAGCAATAAGCAAGCATCCATAGATGTTAGTAATTGCAGAAGTAGTAGGAGTAGAGTCTCTTATATCGTTAATTTGGTCAGAGACAGATTTTTTCACATTAAAGGTGTTTCAAATAGAGACGTCTTGTTTTGAACCAACGCTTGTCAGTCTTTTCAGTAGTTCAAGTGGGTAGCTGCGTCAGCATGTGTAGGTTGCAAAGGAACAAGAAGGCTCCATGGCTGAAATGTTGTTTCTTTTCGTCTCTTTTCAGCATGGAATAAACCTTTACTTATTCTTTTGCAGACTTCTCAGTAGTTCTGATCCTTGTTGTTTACTTTGTTCTGCTATAGTGTAACAGTCTAAAGATGCAAAACAGTGCCCTCTTGTGGTGAAGACTAATTTGTCTTGAAGGAACTGAAACGGATGCCAATTTTAAAGTGTGAGGTTTCAGATAAGAAATAATAAAACAGTGGGTAACTGTCTCCTGACATGTCATGCTAGGTGAACCAGTGTCATGAAATGTGCTTTAAATTAAATACAGTTTATTTTTATTAATTATTGTTTTCATCAGGATTAATTTGCAATTAAGCAAGCAATATGAAACACCAGGAAATCAGAGAAAATGGATGTCAGTTTCAGAAAATGTGGTTCTTTAACCAAAATTAATTATCCAGTGTGATGACAGAAGTTTATGACAATGTTCAGCTGAGTGGCGAGTTCAACTTAAATTTCCACCAGCTGAATTAAGGGGGAACTTTAGGGAGCTCAGATTGCACAAGTCCAGTGTGGGATTTAGTCATGGCTTCAGGTTTACTGCTCCAGCTCTTTTGAACAGTGCCCTGGGATCTGTAATGCCAAGTGGTCAGGATCTCTGTATAATATTTCAGCCAGAGACAACATCTCCTATAGCACTGATTTGACTTCATTGATTTGGAAATTCTGGTCCAAAGGTATAGGGTTAGGGCTACAGTCTACATATACAACTTTCAGCAGCAACCTGGGTTTCCCTGGATGTCTCCCATGCCAGTGCTATCCCGGCTTAGTCTTGCTGTGCTTCTGACATCTTATAGTTTCAGATTACAAGGTGGCAAAGCTGCTGTCGTGTAGTGTGTGTAGCTGGAAGATAGGTCTATATGCAGTGAATGCCTGAAGCACTTGAACCATGCTCTTACATTGTCAAATGTCAAATACGTCAGATGTCGGATTATATTGTCAATGGTGACTTACCTCACCATTGCTGAGCTCTGCCCCATACAGGGGGTCAAATCGTGTTGCTGTATGTGTGTAGGACACATATACTGGTGGCTACATTAGTCTGTGTGTATTCAAGTGCCCAGTGACACAGCTCTATTCAGCTTGACATGACCATTTATTTACATGCTTGCATCTTAGAGCAGCTGGCTCTCAGCTCTTGGATCCTGGTACTGACTCCGCACCAGGGAGTCTTCTGTGTGGAGATTGCATGTTTCTGGAAACATGTTTGCAACGGTTCTCTCCTGTTGCTCTGGCCTCTTGCCCCCTGACTTGGTTGATTGCTGTGCCTGAGCTGCACTTGTGCCCGTGTGAATGGATGTATTATTCGGTACATTTCGCAATGGAGAGACAGTGGTGGTTATCTGTGTTTTTCCATATATTCCGTCAGTCACATTAGGAAAAATTTTGTTTTCATAGTGTTCTCCAGGCACAAGTGCCTTTATCTTTTGAATGCTTGTTGAACCCTTTCTCATTTAATTTTGTATATATTTTGAACTTACAGTTTTTCTTCTCACCGATACAAAACTGGCAGTTCTTTCCTTTGTCTTCTCTAGGATGACTACATGAGGAGAAGAGAGTGGTCTGGCTTGATATGGACCCAGCCCTCAACTGCAGTGACGTATGTGACTCCAGAGACTGCTCCATCGGCCCAGACATTGATCCACAAGAGGGCTGGGAAGTCCTCAACAGGCTATGTGGCATTACTGCAGTGAGTGTGGTATTCTGTTAAGGAAGAAACTGAAATATTGTTTTCTAAGGGGAAGGCCACCCAGGCATGGTGCAGTATTTCTGTCAGATAGTGACGTGAGGATAAAGGAGAATAAAGTGTACTAAGAGGCAGTAAAGAGTTTAGGATGTAGTGCATCTTTCAAAACGATGAATGAAAACAGTTCCAAAGACATCCTATTCATCATCCTACTCTTTGTTTATACAGTACAACTAACATTATTCACTTCATCATAACTTTTGACGAGATAGCAGGGAATGTGGAGGCTTAGGTAAAAACAGACATCTAAAAGGAAGACACTGCTATTATATGTGTACCCTACCTCTTTAAAATCAAATTAAACCGAGGACATAGAACTGCAGTAGGCGGGAGAAAATGATAAATTATTCCACCCTCTCCTGCAGAAAACTCACAAAACTGTGTGCCTTTGGTTTCTTGTTCTGCCTCATTCCGCTTTCCTTTCCATTAGAAATCCTTGCTTCCAGTGTGTCCCTGCAAAAACCTAGGTATTCCTTTTCAATGACTGAGAATCCCCTGAGAGTGTCTGTGTGCATATACATGGATAAGGAATGGATCATTTAACTGGAATTCATCTCGGCTGAAAATGTGAACTTGGCACCAGCTCTTTTTTCTGAAATTTAATACTGAGGTATTTGCAATTGGAGGCACAGTAGTGCAGTGGTGGTCATTGTTGCCTTGCAGCCATGCAGCGCCGGGGCCCTAGGTTCATGTCTGGACCTGTGGCGCTATCGGCGTGGTGTACAGTATGTTCTGTCTGCGTTCATGTGTGTTTCCTGCAGGTGCTGCGGTTTTCTCCCATACTCCAAAGACCTATGGGTAGGTGAATTGGCTTCTTGGAAGATTGGCCCCTGCATGCCTGAATTGGATGAAGAAGTTAGCAAATGGATGGATATTAGCAATTTTTCTGCAAGGTTCTTAGTTCTGAAAGGTTTTATAAGGAACTGAGCTCTTATTTCTTCAAAGCTATCTTTTTTCTGGTTGTATTGTGCAATGCGTAGACAGTTGTGTCTCATTTTCTTTGTTCTGCCTGGACAATATTCTGTGAAGTGTTGTTGCATAAGGATGGAGTGTACCACTCTAGATATTCCTAGTTGAATTCTTTAAGGTTTGTTAGCAGCAGTAACTAAGCTGTGTTTGACAGTTTGGAAAGAAACTGGATTCAGACTATAGTGTTCATCCAACACTGGGAATGTTCACTCTGAGCTGCATGGTTTTACTGTATGTCAAATCCATTTCTTACTGTTGCTGAGACTGTCTAAGTGGACAATGTCAGAAAGTATTCCAAATGAGGAATTCAAATAAGTAACTTGGAAATTTTAGTTAGTTCATTTAGCTAGTTTATTTCCCCACCAGTTCTTATCAGAACTCACAACTGCAGTCTGAACACAAAACGTTAAAGGGTTGTACCTAAACATCCTGATTGAAATCAAGCTTGAAAATGGCAAAATCTGTCCCACTGTATGATTTGTTTATGTTTACCCAGCGCACAAGAATGCAAATACATCTATAGCTCTTAAAGGTATTGTACATAAAAAAGTGTGATATTAGTGTAAGGGCTTGCATCCTGTAGTGACACATCAGGTGAGACCATCTGTATGTTCAAATGGGCTTTTCAAGCTTCACAAGTAGGGATGTTCCACAGTTATGACTTGCATGCTGTGGAAAGAGCCTATAGGAAAGGTGGTATAAGAAGCCAGGAGTTGAACAGCCATGTCTTAGATCTGTACAACCTGCTCTTTAACCCATTTCCAAGTGTCTTGAGTTGTAAAGCACACATAATGCAAAATGTGAATGCATGTGCTGAATAGATTGTTATATTTAATGATTATTAAAAGTCTGACAAAATATTCACCTGTATATTTTTTACAAACATAATTTGTTCTTAGAAACCCTTTTTAAATACAGAAAAAAAACATATCCAATTCCTTATGGGGAATAATTACAAAATGTCACCCCTACCTTTACTTTTTTTTACCAAGAAATGACAAAAGAAACAATAATAACTAGCATTTATACTGTGGTTTGCGTTTTTAGTAATAAATAACACCGCTTACCTAGTTAGACATCATTAATTATACTTAAGTGCATTACAGTTCTGTGCAGTACAGGAACCACTTAATTTGCTTTTTGTGTAATTACACACACTACCCACAATTTTCAATTTCACCTCACCTTTAGGGATCATAATAAAGTCTAAACCACAATAATTCTTATGAAAAGTAAGAGTGCACTCAATAGTGAACAATGCACGAGGCAAGACGTAGTGCACTACATCACGCATGTCTCCTGTGCCACTCCGTAGGCTCTGTGCCAGTTCTCACCCATACTAGTCACTAGTTAGTGGGGTGTGATACTAGTTAGTGGGATGTGATACTAGTTAGTAGGGTGTGCTGCAAACACTCAATATGAGATGAGTTGTATGACACCTTCCACTTCACTCTCTACATTTAGCAGCGGTTTTGGATTTTTTCTTTGTATCAATTCTTTGTGGTTTGGAAATTGGCTTTTGTTATTCGAAATGTGGGTAACAATTGACATAGTATCGTCATAGTATCAAAAAAATGTTCTAAAAAGAGCCTGTATAAAAAGAGGTACAGGTGTACTGATTTATCTAAGAAACAAATGTTAATTATAGAAAACTTTCGTGATCATACAAGTCCATCCATCCAATTTCTAACTGCTTTATCCAACTGAGGTTCGCATGGGAGCTGGAGCCTATCCTGGCAAGCAACAGGCACAAGGCAGGATACACTTTGGATGAGATGCCAGTCCATTTCGGTGCACATATACTATAGATACAAACACAGACACGCGCACTCTCACACCAGGGCCATCTTACCAGAAGCCAATTAACCTACTTTCTTAGATGCTCTTTAAATAAAATGATTCCTTCTTGTGCATCTTATTTCATCGGTCTCCCTCACGTAGTGTCAGCTTTATGGTTTCTCTCCTGTAGAGGAGCTCATTTCCCGAGACCACAATATCTCCAGTCCTCTGCGCTGTGATGTGGACGTTGCTGTCTGGTGGCATTCTGCTGTCTGCGTTCTTCCTGGTCTTCACGATACGCTTCAAGAGCAACAGGTACCTGAATCAGCCCCTCTTCCCTTCAGCAGCTGGGGATAACCAGCATGATAGCCAGCGCTGCTGAAAGATTTCCCCTCCGCTACTTTGCAAATGAAAGCCAACTGCAGATATCTGGTGCCAATGACCACATGAATTCATTGAGACCTTTATTTCAAAGGCTGTAAAAGTAAGAATGAGATTTATTTAGAGACAGAAAAGCTAATGGAAAGTTTTTTTTACAGTTTTTTTCCTTCCTTTGGGGAAACAGTGTCATAAAGGACTATAAAAATGGAAGGATAATTTCTTTGTGTTTTTGAAGCTTTGTCTGTACAGGGTTTTGATGTGTTTTTGGTATTTTACACAAACAAGAACATTAGAGCGCTGAGCTTCAGTGTTGGAAATATGGACAAGTAGTGTTTCCAAAATACCAAAGAACAACACCAATCACATGTGAAGATAAACGTACTGCATTGAGCTCCTATGTTGGAATTTGATATTTGAAAGGTAGCATTATGTTAAGATATAATGTTAAGCATTAAGAGTCAAGTTGATTCGTCAGTACTTTATACCCTTATAATATAGAGTGGCGCTTTTCTTCAGATTCTAACACCAGTGCTCTCGTTCAGGATTGTGAAGATGTCCAGCCCCAATCTCAATGTGCTGACCTTATTTGGGAGTGTGCTGACTTATAGCAGTGGCGTCTTGTTTGGTATTGAGGAGAAGACACTGCTGTCTGGAGCCGCTGTGAAAACACTGTTGCAGGTACGAGCCCATAACCCACTGTCCTGTGGTAGAAAGGACACACAAAGATCATGTTCCCCACCCCCTCCGGATCTTGCATTATGTATGACATGTATACTTTAAGAAATTTGTTTAAGAAAGCAAATTCATCCATGCTGATTTTTTTAATATACGTTTGACTCAGATAAAAAGACTTCGGGCCCTTTAAAACAAAAACCATGGAGTCTTGTTCCTTAAATACTATATCTTTTTCCTTTGTCAGTGTTCAAGCTTTCTGTTGGGAGTTAGGTGTTATTGTTTTTTTGTTTGCTAGTGGTGGGTTGCTGTAACATCACTTGTGTAGTGTTCTTTCTCCTTAATAAGACAACTTGAAGTGACCATACCAGGACATTCATTGGCCTAGTTAAATTATTTATGGAAAATGCCACTCCAAAAAGAAGCTTTAGTAGTGAATAGAATATGTAAATGAATGAGGAAAGTGAGATTTTAAGTCACAATATTATAGTTCTTTCAAGAAAGTAGCTGAGTTGCTACAGTAGTTTAACACCACAGCTTGAATAAAATAAAATTATTTGATTCTTTGCATTATAACATCTTCCCTGACTGAGACCTGCCTTCTGAAAAAGCAGCTATCTGTAAGTTTTCTGTAGCTGAAAACAATTAAAAAGATCTAATTTAACATTTAAATAATACAAAATTTAGATTATGTATAATAATAGTTTCCACACTTATATTGGTGCAGAATTCACTAATATGAGGGACGAACAGAGTGATCTGACAGATGACATCTGCCTGTTGAGTCTGGAAGAAGATTGAATGCTATCCAGTTGAACTCAATACCCTCTCAGTCCTGATTGATATAACAGTGTTGAGAAAAAGGTTCTGTTTATAAAATCCAGATCATCACTGAGTCAAAAGCAGAAATTGAGTTTGCCCTGGATGATTTCCAAGGACTGCTTAATTTTAAAAGGATATTCTTCACAAAAGAATATTCTTCATCAAATATATAGCCTAGATGCCTTTATCTTGAGAAAGATATTTAATTCAGGTGTTTATTTCCAATCTGCTTTCTGTCTCCTTACATCAGCTCATATTAGGATACAGATAGATGGACAGTACTGTATATACACAGTAATGGAAGAGGTCTGTGTCTGAGAGGTTAAAGGAGTACAATTTCTTTGCTGGAATAAATTAAATGCAGCTAAAATCAAAATCAAACACTTGAATTGGAAACACGATTTTTTAAACAGTAGCCATCATCAAATATAATTTGATTACTTATAATCACAAAGCTGAACAGCCTGGACTAAAATAATGGCTTAACCTCTGTTTCATTCAATCTTTTGCCATTGCAGTGCTACCACAGTGTCTCTGGTTCCTCTGTGACTCGAATGTGTGTCTCAGCAGGTCTGTGCTGCTCTGATTCCCTGTGACTCGAGTGTGTGTCTCAGTAGGTCTGTGCTGCTCTGATTCCCTGTGACTCGAGTGTGTGTCTTAGTAGGGCTGTGCTCCTCTGATTCCCATGACACATACTGTATAGCAACAGATTGAGTGGATACTCTGCTTATGAGAAAACTACTGTACGTGGGGTCATTTTTCTACGTTTAATACCTTTTCTATTCATTCTCTAATTTCAGTTACAGTAGTACTATGCTATATACTATCAATTCCATTTATCATATTGACCAAAGTTAATTATAAGTCATCTGAATGTTCAAAAAGTTAATTCCTTTCTGTAATTGCACTCAGTGGGTGAAAATACAGATTTCTCATCCCACTAGTAGCGTGTGTTTTCACTGCTGGATAGAGGTAGTTACTTGCTCTCTTTGTTATATTTGTTTATCGTTGCTATATTTGTTGTATTTGTTTTGGCTGACACTTGATTAGTGATTAGTTATGCCCACTTGTACACCTGGATGTTTTATTGAAGCAGTCTGAGTGAAGTAGCTTCACTATCTATCTTGGATCATGACAATGATTTTTTTTACCTCTAAACTGCTCACGGGGAAAGTTGATGTTTTATATCTATTCTGTAATAATATTTGTTACTGGATTCCCCTATTGCACTTATCATTGTGCAGTTCTTTGACTGAGTGGCTTGAACACTTGAACTGTTCTCCTCTTCTCAGGCTTGAATGGCCAATTCTCATATTTTCTTTCTCTGAACTCAAATTAGTTTCTCCAAACTCAAAAAATAATCAATTATTATTTATCATTTTCTTTGTGTTTCCATGTTCTTGTTATTTATACAAAATGTCACACTGGAGCACAAAAGTGAAGAAATTCTAGATCAACTCAGCTCCGGTCTTCTTAATTGGACCCTGACTTAATTAAGCCATTTAACTTGAACTCCCAGATATTTTCAGCTCTGAAACCATTTTGAGATTTCATGTAAAAACTGTAATTATATATGGAACCTGAGCTGAAAAGGAGGTGAACACAATTTTTTAAAATTTGTATTACATCGTTTCAAGCATTATTACTTATAATCAAGCATCGTTATGACTATTTCATTGCGCGGAAGTGCAAAGAGAAGTCCGTTGAAGAAAGATAGATAGATACTTTATTGAACCCGTGAGGGAAATTGCAGTGCAACAGCAGCTTAACACAGACAACACAGCCACAGTGTAACGAATTATATAATAATAGTACAATACATACAATACAATACAATAGTTACTCACAGTCCGGACACACAAGAGCAAACTAGAACAGAACAGTACACAGAAAATCGTATCACACGTATGAATATAAATATAGATGTAACCATAGATATAAATATAAATATAAATGTATTGCACAGGTGAATGCAAATATGAATGAACCTCAGCCCTTGTTCCTCTTCCACAGGCGCGGGTCTGGACCTTATGCATTGGGAGCTCACTAGTGTTTGGACCCATCTTAACCAAAACATGGCGGCTTTACAAAGTGTTTACCCAGCGTGTTCCAGACAAGAGGGTGGTACGTACAGTATGCTGCTACTTTTACAGTATGTGCATCTTCAATGACTCAGTCAAGAAACTAACTGCCCAAGCTGACTAATTATCCAGAAGCTGTAGGTTTTACCTGGGTCGCTTGGCACAGTATACAGTTACTGCCATGACAGTTACTTAAAAAATACAGATGACACTATGCTTGACTACAGTGCAATCAAGCTTTCGTGGAGACCTGCAATTCTGTGTGACTTGGCATAATTGATGTCTTATTTGTTGAGAAATAGCAAAACTGTATAAACTTTGTGAACCTAGTACTTTACTTCTTCTTTGTCTGTTGGGCATGGTCAAAGTGCCTTTTCTATGGAACTTGTAGAAATTAATTTATACGTTTTAAATTAATTAGATCACTTTATTGGCCATATACAATTTCTTGTATTAGGAATGTCTTTTCGCATACCCCAACTTGCTCTTCATGAGACACACAGACAGGGAAAGAAGCTTGGGGTCAGAGCACAGGGTCAGCCATTTACAGTATATGGTGCCTCTGGAGCAGTTGAGGTTAAGGGCCTTGCTCAGGGTTTCCTCTCCCAGCAGTGGGATATGAACCAGCAACCTTCCAGCCACAGGCGCAGATCCTTAGCCACAGAGGCACCACACTGCCTACGTTAAGGGGGTGATTGAAGATCTGTATTTAGTTTATTAGTAACCCTCTTTTGGGTCAATGTGTGTATTTTTCTAGCTGAAGCATGTCCTGGAGACAGCCAGCATGAGACATGACTGTTAGTGCTGTTGTGTCACAACTTCTCCTGGGTCCTGGGTTCAATTCTGGACTGGGGCACCTCCTGTGTGGGGTTTGCACAGTCTCCCCATGTTTGTGTGAGTTATTCAAGTTCATGTGGGTTGGTCAAGTTTTTTCTGACAGTCCCAAGACAAGGTCAGTTAATTTCTCCAAAGTGTCACTGTACTGAAGTCTGCTTGTTTCTTTTCTCTTACTGCTTATTCCTACACATGCTTGCGATCTCACACTCTTCCCAGTCATATTTATTCTCTCAGAGCTGCCTGTTCCTGATGATTCAGCTTCGCAAGCTGTCCTTCCTTTATAGATCTCAATCAGAAAAGTTTAGTTTCTTGAGAACTGAATGCCCGAACCTTGAACCGATAGTTCATTTTGCTCATCTATCATTCTATTCACAATTTAATCTCACTTAGCTTTCGGAATCTTCTGAAAACTGTTGTTGTTATTCTCCATACTCATTTTTTAGCTTTCATTTTCTACTCATGCTGGAGTTTATTGTAATTTGATTGATTGTAATGTGTGCTTTAAATGAAAAGCTATGCATCTGAATTCCTATATAGTGACCCATGAAGATCAGACCATTTTACTGGAGAAGAAAATATTAACTATCCACAGCAGTTGATGCATAATTCCATTTGTATTTAGAAAATTGTGGCCATTTTTTTTTCATCCAGACCCCTATTTTTCTGGGTTATGGTGCATTGATCCCAATCACAAATAGAGAGCATACCTGAAGAATAATCTATATTCGTATTCATGTTTGCAGTACTGAAATCACATACCATTGTTGGGAATGTCCTGCAAGTACTTCAAATATCCTAAATTCAAAGCTTTTAACTGGCCCTGTTATTGTGATCTTTAAATGACAAATAATTACAAATGACAATTGCCACAATAGGTAATAATTCAATTTTATTATTACATTCTCTTTAATCTTAATCTTAATCTTATTGAATCATTAATCTTATTGAGTATTTTTTTGGAGGAGTAAGGTCAAACTGGGTTGCGTGTGCAGAGAGCATTAATTCCACTCAGGCAACAGGAGACCACTGTGGTTTAGTAGCCTGTTGCGATGCTGAGTTTTCAGTCCGACTGGAGCACAAGTCACACAGTAAGATGAAGTGACAAAGCAGGTTAATGAGCCCAGCCAGGGCTTCAGAGGAGGAATTTAAGATGGAAACCGGACCAGGGAGCTACGACCTTAATTATTTAATCTGATAACTGCTCTGCTGTTGCAGTCTTGGTGCAATTTATGTTTTTAGTTCATATTATGCCGGATTCCCAAATACCACCTATTAGGGTCTGAGCGATTGAAAGGATTAAAATTCTTCTGAAGGTACTAACTTCAAATCTGTGAGACCTGGCAAAAACAATTGAAAAAATGACATGCAGGATTTTATTGGCTGCTAATGTGACTTAGCTTTCTTTTTGGCAAAACAATGGGAACATTTGTTTCATATCTGCAAGCACTGGATAGATTGCATAGCCCGCCTTCTACAAATAGTGCTTAAAATTCCTGCAGGGGTTTAAAAGGGGAAATAAAAAAAACACAGGAGGGGGAAGTTCAAACATTGAATCATGTTTAATGGGAGTGGAGGGTTGAACTGTGATAATTGGAAATGTTCTTGTTTGGTGCCGGTTCTGCTAGTCAATACAGTAATGCAAGCAATATCAAACGGCTGGATAAGAGGGATTGAGTTTACACCTTCTCTTAGCACAACTATTTTATGGAGGGTTATTAGAGTATTTACAACCTTGTTCTAAGAGCTACACCAAAGTCTTGCAAGGTGTTTCACAAAAAAGTATTCTATGGCCCATTTAAATAGGTGACCATGAAGGCAGCCATAACCAATCACATTAGTTTGGTTCTAGTATTCTAAAAAAACAGCAGCGAGTACCTTTGAAAGAAACCTATGTGCAGCTGATTCATATAGGAAATAAATGTGCAGCACAATTCACAAGCAGCTGTCCATAAATACCTGCTTAAGTATGCCGTCTCTGGTTTTAAACTAAATGACTCTTTCCCTAAGAACAATAAATATAAGGAAATGTTTTTAAAAAAAGACTGAATACAGTATCAGAAGAGGCCTGAGGCAATCAGAGGTGGTTGCTTTAGGCCATTCATACCAGGTAGCCTAGTATACCATGTGGGCACAGAGGAAGTAAATCGCAAACTTCCAGTGAGAGAAAAGAAACCTCTGGGGGTCCCAGGGCCCAGTGACTGACCCCTCCAGTTACTATGATCCAGTGACTGATCCCTCCAGACAATAAGTTTGTGGTTTATGAATGATGATAAATCACAGATAATCTCTGCAACGTCTGAAGGGCTGGGATCCTGCTGTCCTGGCTCTTCTGGGTTTTCTTCTTGAGCACAGCAGCAAGGCTTTCCTTAGTAGGGCCTCCGAGAGCACATGTTCCTGACTACAGTGTGCACAGCTGTCCACTCAACCCTCCCATGCTTGTGTGACTCATGGTTTTGTTAAAAAACCTCTGTAAATGTAACCCTTCCATCTCTGGTCTTGAACTGATAGTGATTTCAACACCTGGGACGACTCACTACTGTACCTCTATGTGCATCTTTTTGTGCGTTTACTCTAGTTCATCCCAGCTTTGCCCAGAGCAGACAGATCTCAAATTAAGAATCCTTTGTTATTCTCTTTCAGATCATCAAAGATATCCAGCTCATGGGGCTGGTGACAGGACTGATGTTGGTAGATATCCTTGTTTTGACAGTGTGGGGTCTGATGGACCCAGTGCAATGTGTGAGATCCATCAGTGGTGTAGTGAAGGTGAGAGAATGTCAGGTTGTGCTTTGAAGAAATTGGGGGGGGGGGGGTAGTTAGTATTTAGTCTTTAAAACCTGCATACAGTGTTGATACGTGAAATAATTCAAATTGGACGGTTCTTTTTAGTTGATCTATTCATGATACAGACACGTGTATGATAAAAGCTGTGTTCTTTGAAGCAGTAGAAATTGGTGCAAATACAAATGAGACCATGCAAAGATCATCTCTGTGGACAGAGGATTGGTTTGCATGTGTGTTTTAATATTAATAGAGAATTTTATTACTTCTGAAAAAAAGCCAAAGCCCATGCAAATTTCCATGAATACTTTGCAAATGTGCTTGAATTCTGGAGCCATTTACCCTGAAAGTTAACAAAACATTGTCCCTTCAAGTTGTTGTCTTACTAAATGCTCAAAGTTTTGTAGTTTTCTTTGCAGATTTTGATTAAAATTTAGTTTCTTTCACCCATACAATTGATCAATTTAAACATTTGTGTTTGGATATTAATAAAATATTAATTTAAAAAAATATGTATATTATTTTTCATTCAACAAAATAGAACATCAATGGAAGGGGGTGAACACATTTGCAAAGTACCGGAGTAGAGAATTAATTTGATAACAGATGTTTGCATATGTAACACATGATTGAAAAATGACAAGCATGTGATGCTGTTCGAGCTCTCAAATTATGATTATTATTTGAAAGCAATGGCTTTTTTTAGTTATCTATTATTTTTAAAGGAAATTCCTACTTTTTGTATTTTTGCAGATGGCAGAAAAGAATGTTATTTACTCTCTCTCACAGACAGAATTGTGTTCTTCTCTCCATGCTGATGTTTGGATTATTCTTATTTCTGTACTGAAGGTAAATACACACCTGGATTGTTACACTATCACTGGAGTCGAGTATTTTGTTTTGACAATTATTGATTTCATAACACAGTTCTCAGAATTTCAAGATTGTCAAAGAAGTTCAAGGTTTACACTGTACTGTTTAATTTAGTCCTGACTGTTTCATTTAAACAATCCAATCCCGTTTCACCTGCTTTCATTTCTTTTCGTGTTTTTAAATATTTTTTGATTATATGAAATATAAGTTGATCGCTCAAGAAGAATGATTTTTTTGACCATAGAAGCCTTTAGTTTTGCACAGTAATAATAAAAAACATGGATCCAACATCAAATGACTTAAATTAAGTAGGAGAAGTTATAATACATTACACAAAGCAGCAAAAGCTTTACAAATAAGGAGATCATTCCCCACATCACTCTTGTCTAGCTGTTAAGTAGGTTTGTTTTTTTTTTATGTCTGGGTAGTTGCCTTCACGTAATTAAAAAGCCAGACCGAATCTGACTTCAGAAGTTAAGAAGGTTTTGAATGAGCAGTGGCTTGGGGTGATCAGGTTGCTGCTGGAGCACACCCACTGCGGATACTGTGCCCCACAAGGGGTGAGTCCCCTCCCTCCTGGAAAGCACTTGGTCACAAAACCATAGGCTAGGGTTTTGTTTTCCAATTGGCTAGCTGTACAATCTTTTTTTACTCCTAATATTCCACTCTGGCCAGTGTAAATTAATTGCAGTAGATTCATTTTACCCATGATAGAAAATCAGAGCCAATATAAACAGATGCTGTGTAACAGGTTTTTCTTGGCAAACTAAAACTGCTAGTTGGACACTTCATCATCATCCTTCACAGCTCATGCTGCTTGCATATTGGTTTATTTAAATCCTGATCTTCTTTTAGCTGTGTAGTTCAATTTTGGTATCTTGTTTCCTTGTGTATCACTGGGCAGTAAACACACAACTGAAAATGGTTAAATACAAAAGTACAGCGCTGACCGTACTTCAGTCTTTAGATCAGTTATAACCTGGGAAAAGCCAAGGTTAAGCAGCACATCAAAAGTAATGAGGTTTACTGTTAAAGGTGAAACTCTAGGGGCTCCTGAGTACTACAGCCCGTAAGATGGTCACTCGAAGGCTAGGTTGTGGGTTTGAGTCTGGGACGTAACACTAGCCCACTGTGCTGGGGATCCCCCTAAGTGGCACAATCTGAGCCAAACGCAGTAGCCTTGGGGGTGAGGTGGCTCTCTCAGGTCCCAGAAAAACAGTGATCCCTCCAATTTCCTAGACGTCCACAGCCTTGAGGGAATAGGAAACTGTGCAAGACTCTCCCCCAGTCGGCGGTGATGCTCCTGTACATCTCTGCCGAGCGTGAAATATGTCCGAAGATGAACGGCTCGATGGGAGCTCGGGGTGTCAGAGAAGCCCATCTGCACGCCCTCGCTTTCTCTGGTGGGCACACAGGGTGTGTGCCTGTGAGCCCGGGTTAAGACACAACTGGTGATTCAAAATAATCTGTGATTCCAAATTCCTTTAAAACAAAAAAGTGCAACATTTGCAAAAGCTCACAATGCTGCAGAAAAGACAAATTTGTGATTATTGTCATTTGAAAAAGGAGGAAACTTTTTAAATAACAAACTACAATAGCGTTCTTCTAAAGTCTTCCTACAGGTCTTTAAAAACAACAAAGATGCCTTGATTTCCAAGCTACCAGGAAGGCCTGAAACTCAAGCTATTGAAATGTTCATTAGACCTCAGGCTGCAAGATATATGAATTCAAGAGTTCTGAAGTAGCTTAGTTGGAAAAGGCTCAGATTGAAGTAAATGATAGAAGCTGCCAGTTCAGATCAGAACAGTGTCTAACCAGCCTTTCTGTGCAACCCTAAAGACCTGCTACACCAAGAGTCTGGACCTCAAAATGGAGGACTTGAATGCTCTTCAGAGGCTACTGACAATACTGTATCAGGCTGACTATACACCCAGCTCTGTTGCAGCTAAATATCCTTTACTTAATGGGCAAACATGAAATGTTCAAATTGATTTAGAATTTTCAATTCCTCACCTTTATGGTCAACTGAGTACTTAAAAAACAAATATGCTCTTCATAAACAATCTAAATTGTGGCACATAATTACAGTTTTACCTTTTTGGTCATTTCTGTTCTCACAGGGTTAAATGGTCTCCTGGCTCTGAAGAGCATGGTTTGGACTCTTAACTATACTGCAGCCAATCACAGGTCTTTTCCCCTCCTAGCTCATCACACTCAAGCAGAGCATGTCATGTCAAATGCTTTCCAGACAGAGTGTGGAGAAGGCGTTGAGTGGGTACTGAGTGATCAAACTGCAATCCCGCCCATTCCAGCTCTGTCCTTCTGGCAGAGGTCCTCGGAGGTGTCTCTTGTCACCTCCAGGGCCGTAGGAAGTGCAAACCTCACCATCCTGGAAGATGGGTGAAATCCTGGAATTGATTACGTGTTTAACAACCAAATGAAATAGACGGTCCAGATAGCCTCCTCTCCTTTGTAATCTTCTTGATGTTCCCGTAATAGTTATTGCAACCTGTTTACTTTCCAATTTGTGTGTTGTGAGGGTTTTTAAATTTCTGTTTATTTTGTCATCAGAAAATGATATTACACTTATTTTTGATATATTATACTGTGCTTCAAACTGCAGTCTATTGGCCTACCTTTTGTAATGTATACTTTTATACTTTAATACTTTAATACTTTTTTGCAGGGGGCAAGCATTTCTCTTCCACTGAATAGCCAGCTGGCGGTGATGCCCACTCTGCGTTTCGCAAACAGCTCAGAATTTTCCTGTTCCTCATTTATTTTAGACAATTAGCTGTTTTGCTCATCATCATGAAAAATAGCGGTTCTTAACAAACGTCAGACAGTGATATATCCATGACACAAAGTTGAGACACTTCCTGCGAAATGTGATTAGCTCATGAAAATCTATCATTCCGGCTGAAGCCCAGTTTCAGTGGCATTGTTTTTTTTTTTCAAGGTACTAGTTCCTTATCAAGCATCTTAAAGCAAAGTTGCTGAGTGGATTGTTCATGACAAACCAGTCCACACTTTAAACAATAGCAAAGGCAACAACTGAATATGCAAAGCCTGTCTATCAGCTTTAAAAAAGATTAATGATTTTAGGTTAATTACAAAATGGCTGGGAAAGAGTTTACCTTGTGTCTAAAAGTAGTTTCCTAAAATAAAGATGCTAGTGCTGTTTAATCCTGTCACGTTAAAGCTTGCAAATTATTTGTTTCAATTATTTCCGATCAACAAAAAAAAACTACCCTCAGAGGCTCTCAGTTCTAAATACATGTCCAGAGAGAGTTTTTAAAGCAAAATAATACAGCTTTCTTCAGGCATTTTAATCTTCACAAGTAGGTCTGATTAATGAGGAAAATTTGGTGTTTCCAATTTTAAAAGGTTTTCTTACCATCATTATGAAATGTAAGTGAAAATGATTAATTAGAATGAGTTGTTTTGTAAATCCCTACTGTAAGTCTCTCATTAAAGCAGGGCTGTGCCTTCATGCAATGATAGCCCACAGTTGTGGAACAGCCTTTCACCCTGCTGCTGCAAACGTGTTTTGTAACTTGTTGCCTCTATTTTAATACCAAACCCATTCTGACTCATTCTACCTGGGTTATTACTTGCATATATCCCCAATTAAGATGTTTCAAAATCCAGTAATATGTGTAAAGAAACAGTGGAATTTTAAAACAATTTCCGGTGTGTCTGAATGGACAGGGTAGCCTAGTTTTAAGGAAATGAACAAAAATTAACATATTTCCCAAGAAGAAACATTTAAATTATTGTGAGGCTGGCTTTTACCACATTGCTCATGCTTGTATCTTTTTTTAATGGGGGTGACTTTAAAGACCACTGTTGCTGCTTATGTTACAAATCTCCCCTGGGACAAAACAGGCCTGGCAAATGCAAGACTGAGCGATTTGTTTTTGTTTTGTTTCTTAAACATCTCAAAGAGGGAAGCAGGTTTTAGCCCTTGTGTAAATGCTGGGTTTCATCCCCATTGCCTGTGTGTCACCCTGTGTTAATTTGTCCCACAGGGGAGTCTCCTTCTGTACGGGACGTACCTGGCAGGCTTAACCAGCAACGTCAGTTCCCCACCGGTGAACCAGTCCCTCACCATCATGGCAGGGGTCTTCCTCATCACTGTGTCCGCCGGAGCCACCATCCTCATCACCCGACTCTTCCACTCCTGGCCAAACCTCATCTACAGCTTCACCTCTGGGGGCATCTTCCTCTGCACGGTCACCATCGACTGCCTAGTTTTCGTGCCTCAGGTGATGCTGGTTAATGCCTCGGCATGGCAGAGCACAACCGCCAGCTCTTGTTCAGGCTTCTTCTAGTGTTAGTCAAGTTCACTCTCTTACTCTCCAGCGTGATGCTGAACCATACAAACACCCGTTTTTCTTGGTGGGAGTCATTGTTCCCCTCCTCCTGCTGACAGCAAATTTGGTCACAAACGTCTCCCGTCTGTTCAGGTTGTTTGAACAGAGGAACATAGGAAAGTGTTTCAGTGGCAACACTGGTAACTAAGGATCGTTTCTTATTGATCATAATGTTTTCCGTTTCCATCCCTTCCTAACAGTGAAGAATAGCTTGGAGACTTTGACTTTTATTGATTTCTGATTCAAAGAACCTGCTGTTGGAATTCACTTTGGGAGTTTCGCACTCATAAAGACGGGCCAGTCATCATTAATCATATGGAGAACTAAGGCTGCCTGTTCTCAAGTGAAAAAATACCAGATTCAAAGCTAGGACAGTCTGGTGTTGTCTGTTCCTTGAAGAAGTGCATCTCAATTCCTCAATCACATCCCTGTGATTCATTTAGAACGCACAAGTTGAAGATGAATTGTTCATCAAACACTAGACAATACTGGTTTGGAAGAGAGGATGTTGTGATGAGTTGAAACAGAAAACACTGGTTAGAGTGGTAATTAGTGTCTGGGGATCTGTGACGTCAACAAGACTTTCAGGACAGACCACATCAAAAAAGAGAGATGCTTTATGATTAAAAATGGTTTTGTAAATCACTGTGCCATCTACTAAAATGAAATGTGCACTGTGGTGTCTGTGGGATGATTTCTTCATGAATCTGTTTCTGGTGTCTGAAGGTTGTCTCAACCCTTAACTTTTTAGAGTAGTTTTGTGAATATCCTTTAAAAAATGACATGATCAACATTTTTCTTTAGCCTCTTTAGCATTTTCTAGAGAAATAAAACTCATAAGAGAAAAGGTAAAGTATAAAGGAAATTGCAATTTTAGAAAAAAGGGAATTAGCATAATGGACTGTATCCAAAAGTATTGAGTGAGTGTGAATCTAGACCTGGGTTCAAGTGCATTTGAATATTTTAATATACATTTGCACTTGTTTGCAAATTAATTGCAAATGCTTACATGTGATCTCTCATCTATATCATGACAGGAAACTCGTTCCTGGTCTGTTGCAGTTCTGAAGGCTTTAAAAATAAACACATCCAAATCCCTTTGAGTTTAAGACAATGTTAAATAATATAATTAAGAACTGAGAGCTCTGTAGTCAAGGAATCAAGACATGAAAATCAGAAGAATATTCATCCCCGTGGGCTGGACACACATCAGAAGATTAACATTTAGATGTATTTAGATTTGTTTTTTATCTATAATATTTAAATGTTATTTAAATGCTTTTGAGCCAAATTCTGATGCACATATCAGTGTATTTACCTGCAGAAGTGCTCAGGTCGTGATGCAGCATTCCTCTCGCCATAATATTCTTCCACCTGGCAGTGCTCATAAAGCCACTGTCACCCTAACTCCAGCTCTCTCCTCAGCTGACACAGTGGAAGCAGTTCGAAGACGACCTTACCCAAACGCCAGCTCAGATGGCAAAATACTTCAGCAGTCCGAGCCGGAGCTTCCGGTCCTTGTACAGCGAGGAGGAAATTTACTACCTGCTGGGGGAGAACAGTTCAATGAAGAGGCTGCTCACTGAGGTAAGAAACATGCAGTCAACACAAGCAGGCCCAGACACCAGCACAGTTTTTCTTTCTCTTCTGTTGTCCACTTTTGGAAATTCTGCTTCATCATGCTGAAAGGAAGCTGAAGATTAAGTAATTGAATTGTAACGGACACTTAGTAAGAAATGATGCAGCACTGGAAAATCTGTTATTAATTTTTTTTAAAAAGAACTTTAAATTCCGCAAAGTGAATATATTTTGCCTAGCTTTCATTTATTAATAACAGTGTCTGATGACAATTATTTGAGTATCTGTTTTTTTTTTCCTGTGGCGTAATGTGGTCTGAACTGCATTATAAAGATTTTACAGCACATTAAAGTAACTAAAAATACACTGTAAAATAATTAAAAAATAATATCACAATTCCAAACAAGTACGTGTTGAGTTTAGACTAAAAAATAAGTATTGATGAAAAGCTGATGATTTACTGTTATATGTGCTAGACTGCTACAGAGAGATCAATACTGTACATACAGTAAACACACCTACCATTTGAAGTTACTAGGAAATTCCAGAACCTGTCAGAACTGTCGTTTTTCATGTGAAAGTCAAAAACAAAAATAATACAGACCATAGACCTCATTATAAGTAAGTGAGACTATGAGACATTTAATTTACTGATTTCCAGCTTTAGGTGTTAATTATTTTAATTTTATTACGTATGATGCTGTGATTTTCTTTCCTGTTTTTCAGAAAAATGCTGTGATTGAGAGCTTACAAGAGCAAGTGAACAATGCTAAAGAAAAGCTTGTGAGGCTGATGTCAGCAAACAGTGCCAGTGAGGCCAGCGAGCTGAATTCCACTAACAAAATGAATTCAGCCTCTGCTGAAATGATCAATGTCAGACTGGAAGACTCTGGTCCAGGTGTGGAGCACATGGGGGTGATAACTGAACAGCTTCCTGTTGATAAAGATGACATTCTAGATGGTAAACGTGATTCAACAGAAAAAACTATTGTTTCGGATTCTGTTAACAGGATAGATTGTCCCCTAAATAATGACTGTGAAGTAAAACACGAAAGGCAAAGTCCCACCAGCTCCTGTGTGTTAGAAATGGAGGAGCAATATCAGGCTGTGCAGCTTGCAAACAACATGACAGAGAACGAATCTCAGACACCCTGTGATTTGAACCCAGTTCAACTTGTTCAGTCCAGCACCAAGGCAATAGAAGCCCCTAGTTTTCTGAAGGATCAATCATCCGTTAATAAGCACAACTATGTCAGCAGTGAGAAACTGCAAGAGATCCTCCAGGATCTCAGCATCGATGCTGTGAGCTCCCTGAGGTCTCCAAGCCGGGTGAGAAAGGTGTCGGACCCCGTGTGTGATGAGTCTCCCTCCAGGACACAGTTTCAGCATTGCTTTCCAGGTATTTCACCTTACATCATGAGGAAGAGAAGACCACCTTTTCATAACTCCAGAGGTGGGCCTCCGCCATACTATTTTCCAGGGTCTGAGCCCCCCTGTGCAAGGACTTTGGTGAGCAGTGACCTTCATCGAAACGACTCAAAAATTGATAACCGTAAAGATAGCTTACCGCCTCAAACCCCAGCTGTGCAGAATGTGCACCATCCCTTGCCCACAGGAGAGGAAGAGGAGGAACCAACTTCCTGCAGCTCAAAGCTGCTCCCACCCAGAGAGGCCAAACGCAGCCTCAGGGATGACTATTGCGACTTGTCCATAGAGCCGGGGTGTTCCCGTAAATGTGCTATTGCTCCTTTCTCAGCTCTCCACTCAAAACCTTTGCCCTCGGAAAGACAAGACTTCTGTGGAGACTGGCAGCAGTATGACTATTCAGACTCGGACTCGAGTAGCTCTGAAGAGAGTTATTGTTTCTACCACCGGCCTTACTGCGACGCCTGTTTCCGGGGACCCTATGAGTCCAGCGAGAGTAATACCTCCGAAACCTCAGAGAGTGAATATGGTGGGCTTCCCCATCCCTTGCGCCGAACGTCTCATCTGGTGGTCAATTTTAAGGAGGATTTAAAACCCACATTTGTCTGAGCACCTTTTCTGTTTGGCTTCTTCTGCGAGAGGGTGGAAAATACCTTTTGGGGGTTCTTTTGAGAAGCGATGGTGGAGCTTCGTTATCACTTACAACCTAATGACCCTCAGTTTCTTCCACTGATTGGCCTCGGGTTTCAGAACTTCATTCCTCTCTTGATTGAGTAATTAGGCAATTAAATTACCATGAAAGATGGATCATTTTATCTATTAACAATTCCCTGTTTTAGGGGCACATTTAGAATCCATTTGTGCTTCATGTTATCCCAGGATATTGCACTGTCAGCTGCTGTAGTGTTCTTAATGGTTTAGGCAGCATCACATACAGAACAACAGGAACATTTTTATTAATCTGTTAATTAATAAACAGCAGTCATTGAACAGTAAGGAAGGCATTTTTTAAGCTGCCTATATGGTCACTGTTGCTTTGCATTTAAATTGATCTCCTTTCAAATTGTCCAATGGCCAGTGATAAAGTGCAGTGAGTAATAATAATTTATCATGTGATCTTCAGACTGAAATGAAATAACAGCTTTCAATCTGGAAGCATTATAACTTCTTAACTGCAACATATCAAAGCCTGCTATTTATAAACAACATCTTGGAGATTTACTGATAATACCGCCTGCTCCATGACACTTTTTTTCTGAAGCATGGAACTTTAGAGGGATTTCTATTGGGAGACTTGTATTTTTATCCAGCAATTGCAAAGATTTGTTTTTCCTTTTACGTTTGTAAGTCTGGAGTTTGGGTATAAAATTATCCCACAGGTGCTGAGTTTGGGGGGTCAGACAGAAACACTACTTTGATCTTTCATCTTTAATTGTGGTGTGATGTTGAAATCAAGAAAGACCTAACTGAATGGCATAATGTGATTATTTTTATGTATGCAGGTTTGTCTGTAGTAAAAGGATTTTATAGAATTACTCTAGGTTTAATATATTTCTAATAACGTATTTCTTAATTTATTGTCTGTTTTGTTTTACTGAGTTGTTTTTCCATTATAAAATAGATTTTACATCATAATATATGGTAGCAAAACATTTGTTTTGTGTTAAAATGTTACTAAGTCTTTGTGAATAAAACCTTTGTTTCCTACAAGTTCAAGTTTATTGTCAAATGTACATGAAGTACAATTAAATACTTGCGTGTTCTCCTCATGTAGAAAATGACATGACAAAGGACATCACAATTCTTAATGACAGGAACACGGTAGCAGCTATAATATGAAGTAGCATTCGAATAGCAGCAGAGCACAAAATTCAAGGAGTTTGTGTTTAGTGAGGATTGTAAGTGGGGCAGGAGGATTTAAGAGGTGGAGTTCAGGAGTCTTATGGCTGTGGAGTAAAAGCTTCCTTTGAACCTAGAGATCTAAGCATTTATACTCCTAACTCTTCTGTCCATAAGAAGAAGAGAGAAAAGTGCATTTCCAGGGTGTTTTTGATCCTTGATTATATTATTTGCCGTTCTGAGGCAGTACATGGTGAAGATGGTCTGGATGGAAGGGTGTTCTGTACCAGTGATGGCCTCAGCTGTCTCCACCATGTTCTGTAGTTTTTTACGGTCATGAGCTGAGTAATTGCCATACTAACCTGTAATGCATTCAGTGAGAATGCTTTCTATAGTGGATCTGTATAAAGTTGTGTTTGTAAATGGAGATGTGAATACCCAGGGACTTGAAGGTGCTGACCATCTCCATTGCTGAGCCACGGATACAGACGTGGCCTTCTCCCTGCTTCCTGAAATCAACAACCAGCTCCTTTGTTTTTCTGACGTCAAGTAAAAGGATGTTGTCCGGCCACCATACCAGCAGGTGCTCAACCTCTTTCCTGGACTCTGTTTCATCATTGTTTGTGATCAGACCTACGATGGTGGTGTCATCAGCAAACTTAAAGATGAAGTTGGAGCTGTTTCTAGCTATACAGTCATGGGTGAACAAGGAGTAGAGCAAGGGACTAAGCACACAGTCCTGGGGGGCTCCTGTGTTGAGGATCAGCGTGCAGGAGATGTTGTTGCCTCTGCACTGATTGAAGTCTGCCCATCAGGAAGTCCAGGATCCAGTTACATAGAGAAGTACTAAAGCCCAGGTCCAAGGTCTTGGTGACCATCTTGGATGGGATTATAGTATTAAATGCTGACCTATAATCTATGAATCGTAAACTGGCGTAGGTGTTTATATTGTTTAGATGAGCCAAAGCAGTGTGTATTGCGAGGGAGATGGCAACTGCTGTGGACCTATTACTGTATGTCTGTATCCAAACTGAAGTGGATCAAGATTGTCTGTGAAGCCAGAGTTAATATGTAACATTGCTAACCTCTCAAACCACTTCATTATGATGGCTGTGAGTGCTACTGGGCAATAATCACTGATTCACACACCTTATTTTTCTTAGGTACTAGGATAATGGTGATCCTTTAAAAGTAGTCAGCAACAGCTGCATACATCCTGGATACAGCAGTAACATCCCCTTGGTGGGATCTTGAGTATCTGGAAAAGAAAGTAAATTAGAGCAGTGTATCCCAACAGTGAGATCAGGGACCCCTGCGTTTCCTTAGACCTGGTTGAGGGCACATTCCTACAAAACCTATGGTTGGCCTGATTTAAATTTCAAATTTCATATTGATTTCAAATAATAAATAAATAAGTTTCAGTTTGGTTTGAGGCTTTATTGGGATTGATTGTTTATGGAAAAGGTGGAGAACCACAAAACCATGCTGAAAAGTTTCTAAAAGTTTGGCCTTGTTAACCATGTTACAAACGTGCAGGTGATAATTCCAGCTCCTGCAACACCACGGCCGGCAGCCAATCTCCCAATCAATGGCTCATCTAGCCACAACATGGTCTGGCAGGCTGTCAGTACTGCCAGCCCATAATTAAACTGCCTCATTAGCAGCGGGATATTTATTCCCCCTTTTCCGCCATTGCAGTGCTCAGTCTTAGACTTTACTCCGTGAGCGGCATTTGTTTCTTCTGTTTTTTCTGCTGTTTTTTTCCCCCTTTCAGCTTTCCCTGCAGAGCCACAGATTGACATCGCCTTACCTGAGTTCAGCACCTGTCTTCTCCTGCCCTAGGACCCTTCAGGTGCGTTCGTTAATGTCTCACAACACAACAGACTAGAGTGCTTTCACTTGAATCAGAACAGTATTCAGCTTCTATCCATTACTTACACGAAATTACACGAAAGAACAAAATACCAACTAAAGCGTACCTCTGTGTTGCACATGCTTTCAAACTGAAAACATTTGCCTCTGTTTAAAAGGTGTAAAACAGGTTAAATGTATCAGTAGAAATGCCCTAAATCTCTATGGTAACCTACAGGTCATCTATAGACTAATAGGAGTTATAAGGCTCTTTATTCACATTATTCATTTGTTTATAAGATCATTGTGATACAGAGAAGCTACATTGTTAAGTCTGAAGAAATGTTAAGTTAGGTATAAAAATCTCATTATTTAAGCACTAGTCACTCTATTCTAAATACCTTCTTTTTGTCCTGGAAAGTAACCAGCAAGATCCTTTTAAAGTATGGGCCTTTGACACCATAGCAGGATTACAGATGCCAAAAATAACAGTATCTCATGCACGTGCGTCTGTATGTAAAAAACATATTACACATAATCAATTTAAAATTGTATATCCAACAGTTGTGTACAGTAGGTTTGTTTTTATCTATAACACCATGGTAATCTCATAACACTTGTTACCTTATGCGTGTACGTTCTGTGTGACCCAGTGGTCACCTGAAGCACCAGTGACCTCGCATCTGTTAAAAAAAGGGGGGACCTAGACGGTCTCAAGTGAAACTGGCACCAGATTCAACACAAACTGAGGAGTCAGAACAACTCGCCTCATTATGTTTCTAGGTACAGAAAGGAATTCATAGAATGAAGGGGTTGAATCTGTCTTTCTTTTTCAATTAGAAGGCCAGACCTGGCGAGAGACTAAACCAGTAAAAGCACTTACCAGGTGCATGCTGAAATCTCTGATCTCGGGTTCTAGCCCGGGTCATGTAACTATCTGGCTGTGACTGGGATTCCCTATGCGTTGCTGATCTCTCAGAAATTGGGCTGGCTCAGGTTCTAAAGCCACTAGCAACCATATGAGTATGACCTCAACTCATCTGCAGCCCCACTCAAAAACACCCGGCTGAACAGCAGCCAGCTAGCGACTTTAACTGTTCCCCTGGCGCTCTGTTGGGTTTTATTGGGAACTTTCAATGCCTATCACTTTTGCACAGTCAGATTCTGTAAATTAATCTGACTCTGCCCTTTTCTCTGTCCTAGCTACAGCACTACGGTGCTCAGTAGGTGCGCTGGAGAAGAGATTCCCTGAACAACAGAGAGAGAGACAGTGGGTCCAAGATCAATCCAAAGACTCACACAGGGGCTGAGCCCTGACTTTTAAAAATGAAGTTTCCTGCTGAGTATAACATCAAGTGAGAAAAAATCACAGTGCTTGAATTCTTCTTGCTTGTAGTGGAGTAGCAAAAGAACCCAATGAACAGTTTTACAACCAGAGGGAAAATATCCTTAATTTACTGTGCATGAGTTTAACTGATACATTAAACGTAATCTAACATCTAACATACAGAAACCCTCTGTAAAATACTTTCATTATCTAGTTGCGCACACATTTTAATTCTATTTCCACTCCTTGTCCCAGGTTCTGTTTGAAGCTGCATTATTTGAATATGGTTATAGATTTGGTCTATTGTTTTTGATTTGATCAGCATTTCTTCTCTAGCTGTCTTCAATCTCTTGGTTCTTAGCAGCTACTGTAAAAATCTTTGTGGAAGCTACCGTTAGGAGAGTTTGCAATTTTATACATTTGCATGATAATTTTACATTTTATTCATGGTTTAGCTCTACATTTAACACTGTTTTATTAATGATGACACACAAATCAGAGGACACAACTGAAACCGTAGAAACATCCAAACTTTCAAATTGAGAACAGGAGGCACTTCTTTACATGAAAGGTTGTGGGAGAGTGGAGCAAGATACCTGTTGTTGAAGCCAATACCATAGTTTCCTTCAAGAAACGAACGGAAGAGATCTTCATTGATCTCTTCCATTCGTTTGGAAGATCGTTTGGCCATCAGCCAAACGATCTAGATGGGCCAAATGGCATTAACCTGTTTGTTACATTGTTTACTGTAAATTCTTGCTGCTTGTGAAGTTTTGCTGTGCTTACTTTTTAAAGATTGTAAACTTTTTGGCTTTAAACTTAGTTTTTGTTTCTAATTTTGAAAAATATGCATGAGTTTGTCTGATCCAGGGCAAAAAGCTGTGACTTCTCCTGTCAGTGTAGCATTTGTAAACCGGCTGCTATTGTGCTTTGTTTCTTGCAGTAATAGCTAAATAGTAATATCAATGTATTTTAAATAATCCATGGTGTAATAGTAAGGTTTAATGAACTTGAGGTATCATTATTTTCTTTATTATTAGAGAATGTGACATGTAACTATACCAAATGTGTTGCAAGATGCAGTACTGATTTCTGGGATCTACACCATGAGCTATGAGTGCTGACGCAAGAAGGCTAGTCTCCTTTATAGCACATGCACAATAATGATTTTCGAGCTTCTGGAGCAGACAGGAAATGTGGGCGTTCAGTGGGTGATGGTGACAAGCTGTTTTGGCTTGCAATGAAAGAGAGAGTTTCATTTGGAAGATGAATTTACAGTCCTATGTATGGCTCACTTGCCTTTTGAACGCATTGCAATGATCAAGTGTGGGTCAACTTGGGTAAAGTGCTGCTTTAGATATGCAAATCTGTAGAGTCATTGCTTTAACTCATCAGGCAGCTGGGCAACTTGGTGAGCAACAGCCAGTGCCCTCCCTGAGGAATCCTTATGGGGGGTATTTTTGGTGGATAATATTTTTGGAAGCATATTCTTTTAACAAATTTGGTTTCTTTTGTTCAAACCCTGTCTTGAAAAGTCAGATCCCTTATTTAAAATTTAAAGACAT